CAAGTGCTCACTGTGGTACCCCAAGTGCTCACTGTGGTACCCCAAGTGCTCACTGTGGTACCCCCAAGGCCAACAAGGTCAAAGTTTGAAAATATTGAACTCAAAACTAGTATCTGTCCATCCAACATTTTTACTAGTATTTGGTAAAATGAGAAAAATAGAACAGTGATCTTTTTCTTAATTAAATAACTCACATGCAGAGAATACAAGTGGGGCAGTTTAATCAGTCGCTAGAAAGCAGTACAAAATCAAGAAACAGACAGCTGAGTCCAGGGACCTTAACAGGAAATGGTTCTTGGAGGCAGGGGCTCTTTGCACTGCCCCAGTTCCTACGGGTCTTCCTGGGGTGCTGTGCAGAGCTCACCTGTGTACTGTGCTTTCTTTTGTACCACTTTACCATGGCAACGCAAATCTCTGGCCACCTTCTCCCCTCCTGCTGTGAGTGCACCATCTGAAGCCACCCTAGTCCCTGTCTCCCACGTGGTCCCAGTCACTTCCTTTGCACTGGCATAGGTGGTACTGCTCCGGAGCGCCCCCCTCCTGCTGCTCTGTGTGCTGTGAGCTGAAATTCCTCTAGGCTTGATTTCTCTACAGTGTTCCTTTCACATGTAACGAGGCTATCCTGAGTACCATGGGAGCATGAGCAGCACCCCTGACTCCATCCTCTGGATGCCAGAAGTACCCCATCCTCCACCCGGGTCCATGATCAGGAGCCTGGAAGGGCACTCAGTCACAGAAATGGAAGCTTCAAGTTCCCTAGAAAATTCCAAAGTGTTTGTATGGAGTTTTCCACGTTTTCAAATTTTCATTCTGAAGTTGTTTTAATTTTTAGTACTACAAGACACTCTCTGTGTTGGGAGGCTGTGCTGAGATTGCATGGAGTGTCGCCTGTGACCCTGGGTTAATCAGACTCGGTTGGACTCTAACCTACACCGTAGTCTCTGAGAAAACCTACTGGCTTTACAGATGCAGGAATGCAATCTGTTGCCAACTTGAAGCTTCCAATGAAACTCAACCACAACACAATCTGTAACAAGCCACAGAGACCAGGGGTCTGTGTGATCGAACAGCAGCTACGGGGCTGTTGCTCTGGCAATAAGAATAGTCCAGACACTAAATGCTGTCCAGTGGCTTCCACCCTTAGCACAATCCTGTGAGGTCAGCATCTCTGCTTTAGCAGTGAGGTCTGGGAGCTCCTTTTCTAGAGAGCTCCTGTACATCACAGGGAACTGGGAACAGGAGGTGTGCTTCCCCCGTGGATCTTAGTGCACCAACAGTCCTGTGCCAGTGTATGAATGCTCAAGAGGACACACAAACATTTACAGCCAGGCCCGTGAGCCGTGGGAGCACCCAAGGACACTTAGTCACAGAAATGGAAGTGTTCTTCTATTCATGCACTAAATGGCACTGACCCTGGTTAGCTTCAGAGATCAGACAAGAGCAGATGCCTTCAGAGCCGTAAAATAATTTGCTTTCTTTAGGGGCAGGCAGCAGGGTAAGCATTCATGGGGACAAGAATGGAAATGAGTCCTGTTTGTGCAGACCAGCAGGCAGAGGAGTCTCCTCCACCCATAGCAGGTCAAAGCTACCTGGGGAAGGAGGAACCATCTTGGGAGAGGACACTGCTTCTTCCTCCATGGAGTTCAGGAGGATGGCCAGGTTAATTATATGCCCAGAGTCCCCTGGGAAGACAAAGGGCATCTGAGTCTCTGCATCCACTGTGGCCTGCACCTCAGGTTTCTGTTTGTTGCAGAGATACCTTTCCCTACCTCTGCTGTGAGCTCCTAGGGTGTGAAGGTGTGAGGCAGCCGGGAGGGAGGAGGTGGTGAGAGGGAGATACTGCCCATGGGTAGATTTGGGGGAACGGCAGCGTCTCTCTCCGTTATGATTATGCCCAAATTATGCCCAGATGGGAAGTGGGAGGAGACATGAGGAAATGACAGACTGGTGGTTGGGTGGCACTGCTGAAGGGGGCTCTGCTCTCGGATTTCTGTTATCTTTGATACAGATTTTTTTAATATTTATTTATTTATTATGTATACAATATTCTGTCTGTGTGTATGTCTGCAGGCCAGAAGAGGGCACCAGACCCCATTACAGATGGTTGTGAGCCACCAGGTGGTTGCTGGGAATTGAACTCAGGATCTTTGGAAGAGCAGGCAATGCTCTTAACCTCTGAGTCATCTCTCCAGCCCTCTTTGATACAGATTTGCAACAGCATGAAAACAGGTTGGCTCGGAGATGGGAAGAAAGTAGTCAGGAACTTAATTTAGAGTTGACCTCGTTGAACAAAGATCCGGACTCCTGAATTGCAGCTTGGCTCAGCTGCTATCTGGTGTCCTCGCCTCAGTCTGTCCTTCCAGGTCGTCAGGGCACCAACTTTACAAAGTTAATGGGAGCCTGATGTTTGGGAAAGGCTTAAGCAGTACTGGGAAAGAGAAAGCAGGGATGTTTGCTCTTCTCAGGTGACATGAGGCGTGAGGAATGTTCTGGCATTCTGAGACGTTGGGAGTCATGGTTGCTGTTCCAGGAAGGTCCTGGTCACTTTCTAGATGTGACCAGGGACCTTTGTCCTGGGCTTGCCTATACTCCATACCACCTTGGAAATCACCACTTCAGAAATGAAACGAAGACCTGGACATCCTGATGGAATTTATGAACAGTGAATTCACAGCAGCTCGCACCATGCATCCTTTCGTGCCGTGGCAAATACCCTGACAACAAGCTACAGGGCGTTACGCAAGCATGTTGCATGTAAGCATGTGGTGGGCTTATAGTTCCCAAGTTACAGCTCATCATTTTATGAGGAAGTCAAGGCAGAAACTCAAGCAGCCAGTCTCATTACAGTCCAGAGCAAAGAGAATAGCCACATCCTCGCTTGCCCAGCTCCTTCACTCTTCTGCGGGCCAGGGCTCAGCTCGTGAAATGGTGCCACCCGCATCCAGGGTGGCTCTTCTTGCCTCAACAATCATGACATTCCCCCACAGACATGCCCACAGGCCAAGCTGATCTAGATAACTCCTCATTAAGATGCTCCTCCCAGGTGACACTAAGTTGTGTCAACTTGACACAGATTTTCAGAGAAAGGGGTGCTGTTTGGCAGGTGCGGTTCCCTTTTCTTTCTGGCTTAGAGGACTCCGTGTTTAGGGCATCAAGAGATCCTTGTGGTGCCAGGCTATATGGTTTGGGAAATGGAGGGGTTGGCTGTCCTCTGAGAAGGCTCTGGGGTGTTGGAGCTCCAAGACCTCACTGAGAGAAGTGGGTATCACTTTAGAAGGTGCTGGGGCTGCTGTGGGTAGGTAGGGTGGGCCAAGACACCCAGTCTTCACAGAGAACAGCACACTCTTGGGTTTTGCAATGGAGTGTGATGAGTATGCTGCTGCGGGACAACGAGACACTGGGGTGCTCCACCTGTGACTAGTCTGCTCTCCCTGGGAGTGGCAGGGTGTGTACATCTAGGTTTGGAGAACTTGCGTGGTTTTTGGAGGTAGCCCATAGACAGGGCTACCTCCCACACAGGGCCGTGGGAGTTAAGGGGTGATAACCCTCACGTGTGCCAGTTGGGAAAATCACAGAAACTGTGCTGCTCTGAACCCAGTGCACAAACCAGCTGAGGCACCTGCCATGCCCCCACACCACCCCCACCCTGACTCTGGGAAACTACATGGGTAGCCAGGGCACAGGGCAACAAAGGGTGAGGGTGGCTGGCAGCTGTAACAAGAGAAGTGTGCACACAGGTGGCACGTGTCCCAGGGCACACGGTTTTCAACCTGTCTTTCATACACCTGCTCCCCAAATCTGCCATGTTACATCTGATGCCCAGGCTTAAGTCACCCTTTTAAGGCTAGAAGGGCCACGTAGGAGCAGGAGACCGTCAGCAGCAGGAGCTCTGAGCTGAGAGGAGCATAGAGACCCATGGCATCTATCTAAAGGCATAGCCCCTGCAGGCCCTACATCCTGTGGGCAAGCACAGTTCAGCCTTCCTGCTAGGGCTATGGCTTCTCTATCCTCACTGCACCCCCTTCGTCACTCCTCTCAGTTTCTCTACCTTCATCCCTCACTGAACCCCTCTAGAGATCATCATCACCTCCTCGGCTGCTACCCTGTCATCTGGGAGCCCCTTGAACCATTGTCTCTCTTTGCTTTCCCCAGTATGCCTCACTGGACACACAGTGGTCGCTCACTTGCTGCTGTCCTTCTGTGGGCTCTGAGCTGCCTGAGCCCAGTGCCCTGTGCTCTGTGCTTTGCTGTCAATAGCTGAGGGACACTGCAGATGACCTGCTGGCCCCAGGCCCCAGGTGAGCTGACCTTTGCAGTCACTCAGGGTGTCAGGCTCATACTCATCATTTTCTTTCAGGTCATTCAGAGATGCCATAGCCCCATCTTCTTCAGAACAGGATCCATGGTGTCATGGGCAGAAGCTTTGGGCTGTAGAGTGTGAGATGTTGCCCAGTACCTTACAGCTCTGCAGGAAAGGAACTGACAGGATGTGGAGAGGTAATTTATATACACATGTGCACACACTCATGCATACTCATATATGTGTGTATATACACATTTGCACACCCACACATACATAGTTTCATTATGCATTATGTGCACACCTGCACACACAAACACACTCACATACTCAGATACATATGTGCACACATTCATATGTATGTACACACAAACACATGGACACACCAACTCACATGTATGGACACAGATGTGTAATGCATGAACATGTGAGCATGCATGCATATATACACACATGCACACAATTCACACATTTGCATGCATGTACATGTGAGCATACATCTACATGTGTAGTCACATTTATGTATGTGTATACACATGTACTTACAGTCATGTTCACACACATGCATATATACACATATGCATATGCATATACATGCATAGAGGTATACACATGCCTTGCATACATATATTCACACATGTAAGCATGTATACATATGTATGTACAGCATGTACGCATACACATTTAAATGCTGTACAATGATGTTTTGGCCAGCAGTGTACCACATATATGATCATAGTAATGGAACTGAAAAATTCCTGTCCTATAGTGACAGCCATCGTGTCCAACCCAGTGCATGCCTTGTATGTCCGGGATGCTCTGGGATGCATCCTACTGTGCCTCAAGTTATATGCAGTCCAGCCCACACTACAGAGCAGTGTGTGCTCAGTGGCGACACTGGATGGCAGTGGGACTGCTGTGCTTACTGATGACACTGTTCTTGTTACTTTTCAGGGTGCCCATTCTCTTTATGATAAAAAGATATATAATATATATATATATATGAATATAATATATAATAAAACAGTGTGGTCATGAGAGCAGTCTCACACATATCTTTTTTTCATACTCCAGTCCACTCCAGCGTGCATCACCAGGTCATGTGGTGACTGTCCTGTTCCACCTAGTCTTGTGTAAGTGCACTTTGGGATGGTCACCCAAGAACACATGTCTCAGAATGTATCCCTATCATAAAATGGTGTGTTGTGCATGTATGTGCATACATGTACACAAGCACAGGAATATACTCACACCTCCTTGGAAGTTGGAAGATATGTAGTCAACAGAAGCCAAGGAGCACTGATAGTCCCTGCAAAGACAAGAGAAGACCTCTGTCCAGCTTGAGAGCAGTTGGCAAGTGTGGCCTCCCTCACCCTTTGTTTTAATCTGTGCCTAGCTCCGGTGGGTTGGGTGAGGCATGCCACACTGGGGAGATCTGCTCTAGCCTATCTTCCCATTCAGATGTTGATCTCATCTGGAACCACCATACAGACACACTCTGGCACCTGAGTGACACCCCACACCCTCTCACCACTGCCTGAGCCCCTCCTTTCCCAGAGCAGGACACGGTATGCTTGACATCACCCCATTTCACCATTTTCCTATCTAAATCTCTAGGAAAGATGTTGTTCTTCAGAAGGTAAGAGGATGATCCCAGGCCTTCCTCAGGAGCCCTTGATGCAGCAGAGGGGTCAAAACAGGCATCCTTCCAGCTCTTGGGGCCCAGGTTGAGCATCTGTGATCCTGGCATTGAGGTGGGTGCTGGTGCTGGACTCTGTTGTGCTGGGTCCTGGGGACATTGCACTTGCAAACCTTAGGCAGTTTCCCTGCTCTGTGCCTTTTGCATGCAGCTAGGAGTCATCAAATGTCAGTAAGAGGCTAGGAGGCATTGCAGGGGCCTCCTGCTTCCTCTGGCAGTTCCCATTGACAGAAGCCAGATGCTGGGAGAGGACTCAAGTGTTCTTTTTCATAACATCTCTGGAGTTTGCATCCAAGCAGTAGGGGATTGGGTCACACTATGATGGGTATGTGTCAGCTATAATGTCACAGGCTGATTGGAGTTTTTCAGTTCCACTAAGATCTTAAGAGACTGTCATAAAGTTGACTGAAACACCATGAGTCAGTGTATGGATTGAGTGTGTGTGTGTGTGTTTGTGTGTGTGTGTGTGTGTGTGTGTAGCCAGATGGAATCGGTTTGAGTGTTATTTAGTTCATTCAACTAGAAAGCTGTGTCCTCCAAATTTTGCCGTTTGTAAACTTAGGCAGAACTCCCCACCACCCCACACTCCAGGCTTCTTCCCTGCAACTGGGAGTTGGTGAATGCCACTGACAGGTGATAGGTCTTCAGAACCACTCTGGGACCATAAGACCAAAAGATGGAAAGCCATCCTGCAGATCTCAGCTCCACGAGGGGTGATTTTGTGACCTGCTGCTTCTCACCGACCCCCATTCTCAAGCTCTGTGGCTAACGGCAGGTTGGAAGAGGAGGAGCCAGCCAGGCAGAAGTGAACAACAGGTTTTATCAGCTCAAGTGGCAAATATTGACAGAACCTAAACACCAAGTCAATGTTTACTTGACAGGACAATAGAATTGAGCCCAAGTACGTGCACTCCCACACATGTCCAAGCTTTCAGTGTCCCCACCAAGTGTTTCTGCCTCTCGATGTAGTCGTGTGGGAAGTCCTTCTGCACAGGTGTTGCTTTTATTGGTTAATGCTGGGAACAAATGAGCAGTCTCCACCTACAGTGTAGGCTAGTGGAGGTTTCTAGAAGGCATCCAGATAGAAGGCTGGCAAGGAGTTCCCCATCATCCAGAGAGGCCATCCCCTGTAAGGCCAGCTTTGGCCCCTACATTGTCCCTACCACAAAGCCAACCAGGACTGGTGCTGCCGGGTTCTGCTGGGGGTTCCTACCAGCTAGAAGGATGGCATTATCAGGGTTTTTGCTGTGGATCCCCCTCATGATGACAGGTAGCTCTGCATGTACTATGCCAATTGATGCCAATGGTGTGCGGCTTGTCCAGCCCACCACCATGGAAGCTGGAGTGGGGTCCTGCACGGCAGGCCTCCCTTGTAAGGCAAGCTGCATGGCTGGACAAAGGCAGTGTTTTAGCAAGAGGAGATGAGGCGGGAGTGAAAGCTAAGTAAGGCAAGACTGTGGGGCTAGGGGTCACTAGAGGACAGATGAACACAATACATCTGTCAACAGGATGCAGGAAGACGTGATCTAAAGTTAACATGGGAAGTTCTAGCTATTGCTTCTCCCAGGACCTGGGAAACAGTTGTATGCTGGACAGTTTTAATGGTCAACTTGACACAACCTGGAATCATCTAGAGAGCCTTGACGAGGGACAATCTATACCAGATTGTCCCCACGAGCATGCATGCATCTTGGTTACCTTAACTAATGTGGGAAGGCCTAGCCTAAACTTGGTGGCACCACCTGCCAGGCTTGGGCCCAGGGCTGGATAAAAGAGGAGAAAGGTAGGCGAGCACAAGCGTGTGTGTGTTCCTTCCCTCTGCTGCCGGCTGTGGTTGTGATAAGCTTCAGTCCCATTGCCTTGGCTTTCCCACTGATAGACAGTGAAGGGGCTGTGTCAGCAGGGAGCCAACCCCTCCTCCCTAGTTTCTTCTGACCAGGGTAGTTTATCACAGCAGTAGGCACGAAACTAGGTCAGGTGGACTTTGTCTGGTGTGAAAGGGTGGCAGGGCCCTGCCCCGAGTGTGTCTGGGAATGCCGTGCTACCTTCTGCCTGATGGCTGAGTGCGGAGGCCCAGAGAAGCTGTCCTGCCTCATTTGGCCTGGCTTCCTGCTTCTAGGTCTAATAACATTCTTCAAGATCGCCTCAGGTACCTGCTTCTCTCAGCCAGGCCCTAACCTCCTAAAGTTCCCAGAGCCTCCCCAATCAACACCACTGGCCCATGGCCAGCATTTAACATGTGAGAAGGTGATTTCACATAGCATCCACTGGGATGGCCGTGGGTGCTATGCCTTCCCCAGGCTCTGTGGTGGTCAGAGTATCCCCACTGTCCCATTCTCTATCAGGTTGTTGGGGCTTGTCAAACAACTGTCAGATTCAAGCTCACCCCCACCCCCACAATCTCTCATTCACAGGGCAGAGAAGATAGGCAGGGGCCGCTTCCTTCCCTTGCCCCAGGCCTCAGTCGATCAGATGAAGTACCATATGTGAACTTGGCAGTTCACAGACAGCACTTCCAGAAGCCAGTATGACTGATGGGCTCTGGGACCGCATGAAGTGGCTCAGAAGGTGGTAAACACTGGGCTCTTGTGACCACTGTCTCAGGGTCACAAGAAAAAAAAATGCGGCTTACCCTTGTGGTAGTTTGAACACTTGGCTCAGTTGGTGGTGCTGTTGGGGGAGGTTTAGGTGGTGTGGTCTTGCTGGAGGAAGTGTGTCACTGGAGGTGGCCTTTGAGATTATATCCTTCACTCTGTCTGCATCTGAAGGTGTCAGCTCTTGGCTTGCTGCCACACCTCTGCATAGTGGACTCTTCTCCCTCAGGAAACATAAGCCAAAATAAGCACTTTCTTCCAAAAGTTGCCTTTGGTCTTGGGATTTTGTCATGGCAAAAGGAAAGTGACTAATACAGCCTCTGTGCTGTCCCCAGCGCTGGTCCCAGCAAAGAATGAAGGAGGAAAGCCACTAACCTCGCCCCACCTCACCTTGCCTGTTTCCAAAACAGTGCCACCTCCTCGCAGAGTCCTGGGGCACCACTTGATGAAGGAAGTCTCTGGATGGTGGAACACAGAACACTCTAAGCTGATGAGTGCCCCTGTATGGCCTAAGCCCCAATCTTCTCGTCCACGATGGCATCTGTCTGAGAAGAACGCACCTCCTTCTGTAACACAAATGGGATCTCTCTCTCTCTCTCTCTCTCTCTCTCTCTCTCTCTCTCTTTCGCTCTCTGTTTGGATGTCCTACCTGGCTTTGCTCTGCTAAGCCATTGGCCAAAACAGCTTTATTTATCAACCAATAAAAGCAACACACATACAGAAGGACATCCCATATCATTTCCCCTTTTCTGTCTAATTAAAAAGGAAGGTTTTAACTTTAATATAGTAAAATTATATATACAAAACAGTTATCAAGCAAAAATTATAGATACAATATTTAGTCCATTTATATTTGGCAAATTAAGGAAAATATTCTATCATCTATCCTATCTTTGTGATTCTACAGTTTTATATCTAATTTATCTTTTTAAATTTTTTTTATTTTATTTTTTCATTTTTATTGAGCTATATGCTTTTCTCTGCTCCCTACTTTCCTCCTGCTCCCCTTTTACCCTCTCCCATGGTCCCCATGCTCCCAATTTACTCAGGAGATCTTGTCTTTTTCTACTTTCCATGTACATTAGATCCACATATGCCTCTCTTAGGGTCCTCTTTGCTGTCTAGGTTCTCTGGGATTGTGAATTGTAGGCTGGGTTTTTTTGTTTTGTTTTGGTTTTGGTTTTTGTTTTTTGTTTTTTGGGTTTTTTTTTTGCTTTATGTCTAAAAGCCACTTATCAGTGAGTACATACAATATTTGTCTTTCTGGATCTGGAATACCTAACTCAATATGATATTTTCTAGATTCATCCATTTGCCCACAAATTTCAAGATATTATTTTTTTTCTGCTGTATAGTACTCAATTGTGTAAATGTATCACATTTTTCCTATCCATTCCTCTGTTGAGGGGCATATAAGTTGTTTCCAGGTTCTGGTTATGGCAAACCATGCTGCTATGAACATAGTTGAGCACATATCCTTGTGGTACGATTGAGCATTCTTTGGATAAATACCCAAAAATGGTATTGCTGGGTCTTGAGGTAAGTTATTTCCTAATTTTCTGAGAAATTACCATACTGAAATCCAAAGCAACTGTACCAGCTTGCATTCCCACCAGCAATGCAGAAATGTTCCCTTTACCCCACATCCTCTCCAGCATAAGTTGTCATCAGTGTTTTTGAACTTGGCCATTCTTACAGGTGTAAGATGGAATCTCAGAGTTGTTTTGATTTGCATTTCTCTGATGGCTAAGGATGTAGGCCATTTCCTTAAATGTCTTTCAGCCATTTTAGATTCCTCTGTTGAGAGTTCTCTGTTTAAGTCTGTACGAGATTTTTTTATTGGATCATTTGTTCCTTTGATGACCAATTTCTTAAGTCTTTGTATATTTTGGAGATCAACTCTGTCTGATGTGGGGTTAGTGAAGATCTTTTTCCATTCTGTAGGCTGTCATTTTGTCTTGTTGACCGTGTCCTATGCTTTACAGAAGCTTCTCAGTTTCAGGAGGTCCCGTTTATTAATTACTTCTCTCAGTATCTGTGCTACTGAGGTTATATTTAGGACGTGATCTCCTGTGCCAATATGTTCACCTTATTTCACTTGTATTAATACATGCAATTTTCAAAGCTATTTTTGTAAACATGTATCATTGAAACAATCTGTTTTTATTTCCTTCTCTGGAAATTAATGCAATTCTTAAATTAAAGCAGAGTAAGAGATGGTTTGTTCTGAAGTAAATTATAAATGGCCATGCCCCCTGGAACACAGTAGATTTTATAGCTACAATGCAACAAAAGTCACAACAAACACTGTTCCACAGGTCAGAGTATCAGGTAGGGAGTTACAGGATAGCAGAGAGAGATATGCCGTAGAGTTCAGTGCTGTCCAGCGATATTCTTAGCCTTCTGGTTGCTGCAAGTGGTTTGTTACATTCCAAAAGGTTGCACCTGATGGTCGTGAGGGTGTTAGGTAAGACACAGAGGTGGGCTATCACTGGCTATTAGGGAGGCTGAAGATAGCCCCAGATTGGTCTCTGGGTCGGAAGCATTCTAACTCTACAATCACCACCATCAAATTGAATGTCTACGGCTGTGACTTTATTTTTCCTTTGGGGCACTCCCTGAACTTCCACTGCCCTCTGGATTTCATCTGCGCGCTGCTTTCTCAGAAGTGTGATGAGTACAGCACTTTCTGTGGGAGGCGAGACTGGGGAGCCACATAAAGAAACTAGGGAGGGCGTCAGGCTAGCATGCCGAGGGGATGTCCCGGGCCTACCTGACAACAGCATCCAGTTCCTCAAGGGGATGAAGACCAGCGCCACAGGGCACTGCTGGAGCGGCACAGAGGCACAGAGGAATGTGGGCCCTGTGTTGGGGTAGAGTGTGTGCCTCATGTGTGCAGGTGCCCACGGAGAACCCATGTGGCCATTAGATGCCCCAGAGCTCGATTCTGGGTGGTTTTGAGCCACAAGATATAGGTGTTGGGTCCTCTGGAAGATCAGGAAATGCTCTTAACCACTGATCTGTGTGAGACTTGACCTAGGTAGGGAAGTAGACAAGCAACCATGGGATGCCATCATCAGCCGGTCTGTGGATCATGGACAAATCTACAGAGATCCTTGTGGAAATAGAGCAGCAGCCTTGGGGACACCGCCCCCCGAGGCAGACACCAACTGCTCTGCTGTGGACACCTGCAAGTTGACAAGTCAGGAGCTGATTCAAGTCAGCTGAAGGGCCTTTCCCAGGAAATAAAGCAAGCTGGCTGCCGTAGAAGGCAACACTCCCATCACGGATCAACATCAAATGGAGAAGCTATTGCTCTTTTTGTATTAGTCTTTTAAAACCCTGTGTGTATTTTACAGTCAGAGCACAGCACAATTTACAATTGGAATACTTCACAACTAGAACGGAACACTCACAATCAAGACAGTGACTGGCAGTCCTACTAGAACAATAGCAATGGATAAAGGAAAAGTAATTTACTCTTCCCTCCATTTAAATTCACCAGACTTAGAATTACAACACTCCACGACCCACTTCAGTAGAACCCAGCCTTGTACAGAGAACCAAAGACTCTGCCGGGTGCTGGTGCCACCTAGTGACCATTCCTGGAAGTGTAGGGTTTTGCACAGATGGGAGGTACCGTCCTAAAACCTGGTGCGAACATTTCTCACAGCTTCATCTCCTGAGGTGGGAGGGAAGGGGATTGAGGGGACAGTCATGGGAGGACGGCTGTGTTCAGTGTTCATTTACCACACCCCTGCAGGCGGTGTTAGCCAGGAATCTCCCTTTGCAAACCACTGACTTAGAATAATAACTTTAAGGACCACCTGGAAGGCTGAATCTTCTCCATCAATCACAAGATAGCAGTTCATTGGCTCAGCTGCCTTTGTGTCCCCGTGGCTTAGCCCAGAAGACCCTCACCTTCCACAGTTCTGCAGCTGAGGTTTCAGATCAAGGTGTCACTGCTCCATGTGGAGTTGAGGGTTACCTCTTTTTATGGCAAGGCTACAGTCCTGTGGGATGAGGGATCCGTCCTGTGTACACATGCACACGAGATACTGAGGTCACATTGGCCTGGGATTGGGCGAGCCTGGAGTTGGCAGGTGAGACCTGCTTGCTGGTTGGTGGGACAGACTGGCCCCATCAAGGGGCTAGGTGACGGGAGGGGTGGAACATGGGTCAAGAAAGGTCCAACATTAGGATATCTATGTTCAGGCTGGCTTTCAGAGACAGGAGGGCATCCTGTGACTGAGAGGGCTGAGGCCTGGGAATGGCTACAGGTGCTTAGGGGCACTTTGTCTGCCGTGAACCAGCAGACACAGAGAGTCTAGATAGTGCTGGAATGGGGGACATGGGTCAGCATTCTGTTTCAGAGACCAAGCTCTTGTGCCAAACCTCTTGCCCTGGGGTGGCTTGTCCACTACAGCTTATGGCCTGGCTGGGGCACTCTGCATGTTCATATGTGTGTTAATTCTGCTGTGTTCAGAAGGCCTGTTTTTCATTGGTATCCTTCATCTATTCTGGGTCTTAAAAATCTTTCCACCTCCTCTTCCCCAAGACTCCCTGAACTCTCGGGGGAGGGATTTGATGTAGAAATCCTATACAGGGCTGAGTGGTCCAAGGTCTCTCTGCATTTAATTTCATTGTGAGGCTCTGTATTTGTTCTCATCTACTATAGAAGGAAGCTTCTCTGTGGGACAGGGTTTCTCTTTGTAGACATGGCTATCCTGAAACTCACTTTATAGAGTGAGTTCAGGCTGGCCTTGAACTCTCAAAGATCAACCTGCCTCTGCAGCCTAAGTGCTGGGATTAAAAGGCATGCACCACCACCACCCATTTTATTGCTATGTTCCTTTAGCAGAACAGTAGTGTTTGGATTTCCCTCGGTCTCTGGCCTGTCTAGTCTCAGGTTTTGGCCAACTGAGCAGTGTTGTATATAGGTTCCATCTTGTGGGGTGGGCCTTAAATCCAATCATGGGCTCTGGGTTATCTCACTCAGGATGATTTTTTTTCTAGCTCCATCCATTGATCTGTGAATTTCATGATTACATTTTTCAACAGTTGGGTAATATTCCATCGTGTAAATGTACCACATTTCCTTTATCCATTCTTATGTCGATGGGCACTAGGCTGTTTCAAGTTTTGCCTCTCATGAAGAGGGCAGCAATCAATGGTTGAGAAAGTATCTCTGTGATAGGATGAAGTATTCTTTGGGTATGTGCCCAAGAGTGGTATAGCTGAATCTTGAGGAGAGATATCGGTTCAGCCTCCTGAGGAGCCACCACACTGACATCCATAGCAGCTGTACAAGTTTGCACTTCCACTAACACTTCTTTTCTTATTCGGTATTGTTTTAGAGAACCCAGAATTGTGTGTGTGTGTGTGTGTGTGTGTGTGTGTGTGTGTGTGTGTGTGTG